GGCTTTAATGGTGTTTTAGGAAATATGTGAAAGAACTCTGATCAAATTAGTCATAGGAACCAGAATGTATTTAGTAAATTCAGTTTGGTACATTTTTGGTGGCAGCACCGAGTGACCTTTATTGATGATAAATTGTAAGAAGTACTGCACGCTCATCTGTGGATGCCTCCTTAACTCTTGCTCAGTTATAATTTGACACAGATTCATGTGGAATATGTGGAAGTCAGTTTAGTGGTGCAGACTTCAATGTGGCGTGAAGATAATGGGAATATGGGGAAAAATGTCTGGGTCTGCCACCAGCCTCACAGTGTGTCAGAGACAGGGCTGGCTGCACTGTTTGCTGGGGAGGGACTAACCAAGATAATCGCAGTTATTTGAAAAAGAAACGGGGTCTCGCTCTGGCTTTTTAGCTAGGTTTTTGTGTGTGTTGTGAGGATCAAAATGGTAGGTGGTAGAAAAGCAGTGGTATGCCCTGAGGATTGCTACTAGGCCAGTGAACCCGGGTGGGTCCCACTCCAGTTTGCGCAGCAGCGTGGCGGCAGCTTGCCTTTTAAAAGGTACGAAGGAAACTTTGCAGGTCTGTGTGGCAAAGGCAAGAGAGGAAATACTTTATGATCAGCTTCCTTATTATAAATATTTTAACTTGATAGGCTTTTGTACTGTTGGTCAGGTTTTCACTTGACTTCCTCTATTCTTTGTGTGCCAAGTGGGGGGGGGGGAAGAATAATCAGGAGAAACAAAATAAAGGGCAAGAAGTAGCTTGCCTGGGAGGTTGGAAGGGGTATTTAAAGCAATGTCTTCAAACGCTTTACTTACGGGTTTAAAGCAGTATCTTTATGGAGGCAGATGTGCACATACCTCTTGAGGAAAACCAATTTAGATGTTTTGTAACTTGTAAATGAATGTTGGCAAAATATTTGAAGGGAGAATAAAAGCTCCTTTTTTTCCTGGGTAAGACAATACTGTATGCTGGGTTGTTGTGTTTTTTGTGGTGGTGTGTTTTTTTTTT